TGCAACTCGTTCCGAAAAATTGGAATTGGGACTACTAGTTGGTTGGGGTTCGTCCCGTTTCCGTCCGCCCCCCTCCGTAACGGACGTCACGGGTGGCGAATTAGAAACATTGTCTAAGCAGATGGATGATTCAAGCCGCCCGCTCGCCCGCCCCTCTGTCCGCCAGCCCGCCCGCTCGCCCGTGCGCCCGCCCGCCCGCGCGTGCCCGCCCGCCCGTTCGCCCACCACGACGAAGACAATGACCCCGCCGGCGACGACGAGGACGACGACGACGAAAACGACGACGACGACGAGGACGACGATGGCAACGATCACGACTATCTTGCGAACGTGTGATGCAACAGGCTGCGTTGACCTTCTTTTGGGCTTCCCTTTCCTTTTCACCCGCCCGATGAGTCTATGAACAGACTTTTTGTCCCCACATCCTAAGTGAGATTCTTGTTTTCTTCACACCTCCGCGCAGGAACCCCGTCTTCCTGTCATCACCATCCCACCGTGATCACCGATCATCATGGTCACCTGCTCACGCTCTCGCTCATTTACTCATCATCCAATCAGTCATCATCATGTCATGATCTCATTATGGCCACCGGCAACTGACATCATCATCATCATCATCATCATCATCATCATCATCACCACCATCATCATCATCATCATCATCATCATCATCATCATCATCATCATCAATAGTTCACATTCACTCTCACCCACGCAGTCACATTCACCCATCACCCATTCATTCATCATCATGGCATCACCCGTAGGAAGTCTCAGGCTGGAGCCCTTCCCTATGGGCCCCGCACTTCATGTTCGAATCTGGGCGGGTTATCCACATCCTGTAACAGTCGTCGCTTTTGGGCTCCTTAGGCCTGAATCTCGAGGGAGTCTCAGACGGGAACCTCGTTTGTGAGTGAATCGCGAGGAGGTCTCAGGCGGGAGCCCCCTCCCGATGGGCCCCGCACTTCATGTGTGAATCCGAGCGGGTCATCCAAATCCTACAACAGTCATCATTCTTGGGTTCCTCAGGCCTGCATCTCGAGGAAGTCAGAGGCGGGAGCCTTGTCTGTGAGTGAAGCGCAAGAAAGTTTCAGGCGGGAGTTCCCTCCTTGTGGGGCCCGCACTTCATGTTCGAAACCGAGCGGGTCATCCAAATCTTGCGAAAGTCGTCACTCTTGGGCTTCTCGTGCTTGAATCTTACGGAGTCTCAGACGGGAGCCTCGTTTGTAAATGAATTGCGAGGAAGTCTCTGGCGGGAGCCCCCTCCCTATGGGCTCCGCACTTCATGTTCGAATCCGGGCGGGTGATCCAAATCCTGTAGCAGTCGTCGTTCTTGGGTTCCCCAGGCCTGAATCTTCAGAGAGTCTCAGATGGAGCCTCGTTTGTGAGTGAATCGCGAGGAAGTCTTAGGCGGGAGCCTTCCGTATAGGGCCCGCGCTTCATGCTCGAATCCGGGCGGATCATCCAAATCTTGTATTTGTCGTCACTCTTGGGCTCCCCGCTCCCTCCCCCTGGCAAGGTCCCCCACCCGCTTCAGAGGGGGGGCGGTGGGAGCTTCCGAAACCGCCCCCATCGGAGGCTTCCCCCCTCCAGTTTCGAGAGAGGGATGGGGGGCATCTTCGGCAGCGCCCCCCCCCCTCCCCGCCCCTTTTTTTGCAGAGGCCCCCCAGGTTTTAAAATGGGTCCGAAGCCCCCCCCCCTCTGACAAGGAGGAGGAGGAGGAGGAGGAGGAGGAGGAGGAGGAGAGGAGGAGGAGGAGGAGGAGGAGGAGGAGGAGGAGGAGGAGGAGGAGGAGGCGGAGGCGGAGGCGGAGGCGGAGGAGGAGGAGGAGGAGGAGGAGGAGGAGTAGGAGGAGGAGGAGGAGGAGGAGGAGGAGGAGGAGGAGGAGGAGGAGGAGGAGGAGGAGGAGAAGGAACTCCCAGCTGGGGCCCCCTTTTTGGTCGCCCGTGCGCCCCGGGCACGCTCCTTCGCGCATGGCTTGCCTCCCTCCCCCCCTGTTCCTCCCTGCAGCCCCTGGGGTGGTCGCCACGAGCGTGCGCTGGTGCTGTCCCCGACGAGTGTCTCCAGCTGCTCGCCCAGAGCGTCGCCGGGCTCAGCATCTTAGCCCCCTGGCTTGAATCTGCAGCCCAGGCGCTCGATGCCCACGTGTTCGGTCATGCCCCCCCCAGAAGCGCACCCGAGACCGCCGAGGACCTCCGAAGGCCGAGGGACATCGATAGGTCCTCTGCCAAGCGTGTGGGGTATCTGAGTCGACGGGCTCGCCTTCTGAGCCTGGCGACGTTACACCTCCGACGGCTACCAGGCTTTGTTGCATTCGCGCTGGCCCGATGGAGCTCTCGACCCCTTTCCGGGACCAGTTTTCCATCCTGATCGATTTTCCGACGGTCCGCCCAGAAGCGAACACTGCTCCTGGACGCTGGAAGTCGCGAGACAAAGAGCCGACGGCGATGTTGGCAAGTCGGCGCAGGCCCAAGCAGGCCCGCGGAGGTTTCCGCGGAGGCCCCGGGAGGCCGCCTGGGTGCTCTTGAAGGCTGAAAGAGAGAGACACAAGCGGTGCAAGACGTAACAAGAACTCCCGTGACCGCCCTCAATCCTTGTCAATCGGCGTCCCCCCAACATGCTGATATTGTATGTGCGTCGCCCTCCCACGGGAGGCGCGCGCACCGAGAAATCTTGAAGTGTACCGTCGTGGCGGGCGCTTTCTGGCCACACCGCTCGGGAAACGATCTACTACAAGATGGGTGTGCTATATGTTCGGGTCGGACGCGTGCCTCCAAGGAGGACGTATAGTACTGGTACGTCCTTGTGCCTCCCAGTCAAAGCGTTCAGAGAGCCACCAAGCCGCTCCAGATACTACAAGCTTTTCCCTGTCTGTTGTGGAGTCGCCCGTGCTCGCTCGCCAGAGGTCTGGGTTTCGGGAGGCCCCCGCAGGTCCCTGGAGGTCTTCTCGGAGGTCTCCCGAGGCCTTCTGGAGCCCTTTGGGCAAGTCTCCCCCTCCCCCCCCCGTTGTGACAAGCATGTCCCGACACACGCCAACACGGCGCGAATCGTCCAACGCCTGGCGACCCACAGGGCACACATAGGTTGGACGGATGCTTGCGTGTCCTCCTGCGTGCGCATCATCAGCAGTGCGCTCGGCCTCGTGGAGCCTCTCGACGGGGGCGCGTCAGCCTCCCAAACTGTGCCGACGTGCTCTCGTCCTCCGCTCCCTGGCGCTGCATGCCGGCCTTCGCTCGAGCTCTGCACCTCTGCGCGGCCCTCTCTCTTAGGAGGGAAAGAGACACACACCGACACAAATTTCATCGTCGACACCCAGGAAGATCTGGGAAGCGGGGGGGGGAGGACGAACGCCCAGAAGATGTGGGAAGAGATTGGGGAGTCCTGCCATTTGTGCCTACTTGTTTGTGTGTCCCAGGGCCCCTTCACTCTCCCTGGCCGCGCCAGGACGCGCTTGGAGGCCGCAGCACGCCCCCCCCTTGACGCCTGCACGCTGCGAGGGGGCCGCCTCTCCCTTTCCAGCGCCTCCGCGGCCGCCGCGCCTCTCCTGTTCCCCCTCCTCGTGCGCTGCTCGAGGACCGTCCCCAAGGACCATCCTCCCTCCTCCCTCCTCCTCCCTCCTCCTCCTCCTCCTCCTCCTCCTCCTCCTACCTCTCCTCCTCCTTTTCCTTCCTCCTCCTCCTCCTCTCCTCCTCCTCCTCCTCTCCTCCTCCTCCTCCTCCTCCTCCTTCTACCTCTCCTCCTCCTCCTCCCCATCCTCCTCCCCTCCTCCTCCTCCTCCTCCTCCTCCTCCTCCTCCTTCTCCTTCCTCCTCCTCCTCCTCCTCCTCCTCCCTCCTTCTCTCCTCCTCCTCCTCCTCCTCCTCCTCTTCCTCCTCCCTCTTCCTCCTCCTCCTCCTCTCCTCCTCCTCCTCTTCTCCCCCTCCTCCTCCTCCTCCTCCTCCTCCTCCTCCTCCTCCTCCTCCTCCTCCTCCTCCCTTGGCCTCGTCCTCGCTCCTCCTCCTCCTGATTTTCTTGCACGTCTGTCTCGCAACTGCCTGTTGCCCGGACGCGCACGCGGTGGCCGCCCCTCACCGCAATCGCGTCGTGCGCTGCTCCAAACCTCCACTCGGTGCCCCTGGGCTGAGGAGCTGGTTCGAGACCGATCCGATCCTAGGGGAACGAACAATGGCATTAACATAACAACTCGGAGGTCCGCGCGGATTTCTCGGATCGGCGCTGGGGCCCCCCGGCGGCGCCTCCGGCGCCGCCCCTGGCGCGCTCCGCGCGCCAGGGAGAGGGGTCCAGCGCCGATCCGAGAAATCCGCGCGGACCTCCGAGTTTTTATGTTTATGTCATTGTTCGTTCCCCTAGATCCCGGTGCGGCCGAGCAAAAAGTGAGAGTTGCGGTTCGAGTCCGACGCGGCTTCCCGTTTTTCCGACTTCCGAGCCGATGCGTCGAGCGCCAGTTTGGGCCCCGATTCCAAAATGTTCGACTGGCCTCGATCTCGATTCGGCTTCCCGATCAGGTGCCTGCCTGCGCGCTGGCCAGGTCCGCGAACAACAACAAACATCGGCACCGCCCAAATGTACTCATACTGTGTGTGCGTCGGCACCGCAAGGGCCACGTGCATGCCAAGAAACCTCGTAGCACAAGCTCCGTGGTGGGCGCTTTCTGGCCAGCCGCTCGGGAGCCGCTGTGCTATCACATTCGTTGACTCTCTGCTCGCGTGGGACGCGCGCCTCCAGCAGCAGCACATCACTACTCGTATGTCCGTCTGCATCCCATCCGTTCTCGTCCTCAAGCCTGACTGCCCGAGCTCGTTCGGGATCGGCCGCCGGCCCGGCCATGGGAGGGGGAGGAGGAGGAGGAGGAGGAGGGAGGAGGAGGAGGAGGCGGAGGAGGAGGAGGAGGAGGAGGAGGAGGAGGCGGAGGAGGAGGAGGAGGAGGAGGGAGGAGGAGCGAGGAGGAGGGAGGAGGGAGGAGGGAGGAGGCGGCGGCGAGCGGGCGGCCAGTCACGCCAGGGCGCGCCCCCCGGGCAGCCGCGGGCGAAGCCGAGGGCGCCGAGCGCGCGGAAGGCGGCTTCCTGGCCGGCGGCGGCGGCGGCAGCGGCGGCGGCGACCACGGCGACGACGACCACGGCCACGGCGGCGACGGCCATGGCGAGCACAGCGACCACGGCCATTCGGGTCGGACGAAAGGGGGGATTGGGAAAGGGGGGGTTACGAAATTTGCTGCATGCAGCTGGTTTCGGCCTCACCGAGGGGCCCATTCCTCGATACATAGCCGCCTCCGGCGCCGGGAAAATCAGCTACGTGAGCTGATTCTCAAACCCCCCCTTTACTATCCCCCCCTTTCGCCCGACCCGAGCCACCACCGCGGCGACGGCGGCGGCGAGCAGCGAGCGCGGCGGCGGCGGCAGCGACGACGAGCCTCGGCCACGACGGCGGCGCCGTCGCCGTCCTCGTCGGCGTCGCGCTCGCAGGCCTGGCCTTCGGCTGCCTCGCTCGGGCGGTGCAGCGAGCGCGCGCGCGCGGGGGCCCCGCCGCGTCGCTGGCCCTGCTGGGCAGCCTCGCGCGCTGTGCTGCGCGGGTGTGTTGGTGCGCGCGCGCGGGCGCGGGCGCCAGCGAGGGCCGGACGTCCGAGGGGCGCCGCTGCTCGAAGAAAAGCGCCGGAGTTGAGGTCGGACTGTCGCCAAAGGAGACGCGGCGACAACGATGCCACGGCTGGGGCTTCCCCTTGCCTCGCGCAGCGGGTCCGCCGAGCACCTCAAGCACAGTCCAAGCCGAGGTGAAGGATGATCCTTGAAGCGGGGCACCGTTGCCTTGCATCCTTCGGTTGTGGGAATCCTGCGCATGGTTTCTGCCCCGCCTGCCCCCACGGTGCCCTGGCACTCTTGATGGGCAAGTTTTCCACCACCACTACCATACGTAGGGCGGGGGAGAACGGAGGATGAGGAGGTCCTCCTCCTCCTCCTCCTACTCCTCCTCCTCCTCCTACCTCCTCCTCCTCCTCCTCCTCCTCCTCTCCTCCCCCTCCTCCCCCTCCTCCCCCTCCTCCTCCTCCTCCTCCTCCTCCTCCTCCTCCTTCTCCTCCTCCTCCTCCTCCCTTTTCCTCCCTCCTCTCCTACCTGTGGTAGTGGCTGGCGCCCCAAAGGCGGCCTGCATCCTGACTGCCTCTCGTCAGTCCCGATGGCTGATTTCGGCCGCAGTAGCTGCAGGGGCCCTGCCAGCTCGCCGACGACAGCGAGGCAGTGGACGGCCTCCCCCTTGCAGGCCCCCCCCCCGTCCCTTCGCGCAGCCTCAGCCATAGTGCTGGCCCGGCCGTCTCGCGCGTGGCTCGGTGGTTAATTCGGCTGGACCGTGGCCCGGATCCTCCTCTTGGCGACTACTTTACGCGTCAGCCCGCTGACCAAAAAGCAGCCTCAGCCATCTGCGCTCAGCCCCACGGGCTCCCGCGAGCCCGATGGGGGGGCCCGCGTGGTCCTCGCTGGGGAGGAGCTCCTGGCCCCAGCGGCGGAGAGTCTTCCGTCCTGGCGCAAGGACAGTCCAGGATGGAAGCGCGGTCCGTGGGGGGTCGACAGCTCAGGATCCCTTGTTGGGCAAACGCGCCGCGCGAAAGGCTCGGTCCGTGGTCTCCACGCAGCTACAGCATGTGTGTGTGTGTGTGTGTGTGTTTGTGTGTCGGGCTTAGACGCGCGCGCTCGCTGCTTCCGGACCTTCTGCGCCCTCTCGCCGTGCGCAGGGCCGCGACGCCAACAACGCGTGTGTGTGTGTGTGCGTGTGTGCGTGTGTGTGTGTGTGTGTGTGTGTGTGTGTGTGTGTGTGTGCGTGTGAGTGTGTGTGTGTGTGTGTGTGTGTGTGTGTGCCGCTGCCCGCCCTTGGCTGCCCCGCGGCTAGTCAGTGTGTGTGTGTGGGGCAAGGGAACATGGAAAAAACACAGGGAGCCCGTACCAACCCCCAAACCCGAAATCCGGGCGAAGTTCGGGCCTTCGGGGTTGGGTTGGGGTGGTCTGGTAGGTAGTGTGTGTGTGTGTGTGTGTGTGTGTGTGTGTGTGTCTGTGTGTGTGTGTGTGTGTGTGTGTTGGGGGGGGGCAAAGGAACATTGAAAACACATAGGGAACCCGTACCCACACCCAAACCCGGAATCCGGTCCAAGTTCGGGCCTTCGGGGTTGTGTTGGGGTGGTTTGGTAGGTCGTGTGTGTGTGTGTGTGTGTGACTGTGTGTGTGTGTGAGTGCGTGTGTTTGTGTGTCTGTGTGTTTATGTGTGTTGTGTGTGTGGGTGTGTGTGCGTGTGTGTGTGTGTGTGTGTGTGTGTGCGTGTGTGTGTGTGTGGGGGGGGGGGCAGGGGAACATGGAACAAAAACACAGGAAACCAGTACCCCCCCAAAACCCGACATTCGGGCGAAGTTCGGGCCTTCGGGTTGGGTTGGGGTGGCCTGGTAGCTCGTCAATGCGCGTGTCTGTGAATGTGTGTGTATGTGTGTGTGTTTCGCTGTTTCCCCAATTAGAGCTGTGCGTAGCCCGCCTAGCTTTTACCGGAAGAGGTTCGCTCTCGCCCCGCAAACCAAAACAGTGTGTGTGTGTGTGTGTGTTTTTCGCTTTCGCCCCGCAAACCAAAAAACGTGTGTGTGTGTGTCGCCGCCCCCGCCGTTCGCCGGGCGCCCGAGCGCTGCCTCGCTGCCCCCGCCAGCGCCCCCGCGCCGCCCTCCCCGCGAGCCGCTGCCCCGCCGCCGCGCCCTGCTGCCGCGTTTCTGTTAGCTTCTCGGCGGCGGCGCGCCCGGCTGTCGCTGGGGCCGCGCGCGCGCGCTCCGCGGCGCGGCGACGCGCGCGCCCACGACGAGGAGGACGACGGCGACGGCGACGGCGGCGACGGCGACGGCGGCGGCGGCGACGGCGACGGCGGCGGCGACGAGGACGACGACGACGACGACGACAGGAACGACGAGGACGACGACGACGACGGCGACGGCGACGGCGGCGGCGGCGAGGGCGAGGGCGGCAGCGACGGCGACGACGACGACGACGACGGCCCTCGCGACTCGTGAATGTGCGTGCGTGCGTGCGTGCGTGCTTGCGTGCGGACACGCTTGCGTCGTCTCAAGCATGGTGGACGTACTGCGGCACACGTCGATGATTGTGTGTTTGTCGCCACTTCATCTTCTCTTCGGACAGCCTCTTGCGCACGTGCACTTGACTGTATGTTGTTTGTGGCTGTTCTGCATGTTTCAGGAATTTCTTTCTCATGGTCGCTCTGTGCATGTCATGCTCGTCTTGAAACAGCAGGCTCAGCTGAGTGCCTGTGGTGAGTTACCCGCAGCGCACGGGGGGGGGGGTACGTGCGCTGTCCCCCCCTGAGCGTGTGCGGGCGCTACGTGGAGGGTGGGAAGACGTGGCCAGATCAGCCGAGGCCCCATGTCCTCCCACGCCCCGACCATCCGTTTTTTTGTTTGTTTGTTTTGTTTTGTTGTTCGGGCCCCCCCCCCCCAAAGGCCTTCGACGCCCTTCTTGTGGTGGAGCCGCTCTCTGGAGGCCCAGGGGCCTGGAGTCGGCCCCCCTCGGACCCCGAGAGTGGCGGGAGTCGTCGAGTCGCCAGGGGTCCAGGTCTCCTCGTCCTCCTCGTCCTCTTCGCCCTCCTCCTCCTCCTCCTCCTCCTCCTCCTCCTCCTCCTCCTGCTCCTCCTGAGGCCTCGGGACCTCCCTTGGCGTCCCTGGAGGCCTCCTTGAGGGCTCCCCGCGCAGGTCCCCGCAGGCCTCCTGGAGGCCGCCAGAGGCTTCCAAAGTGCTCCAGGAGCGGTCCAACTCGTCCACAGGTGTTGCAGCTAGATACAGTGGGGAGTCAAGAGGTGTCACCAGTGCGATATGGTGGGCGACGTGTGCGCCGCTTTTGGCGCCGAACCCTGGCGCCCGAATGATTTCTTCTTCGAGGGCCACCAGGGGTCCCATAGTGGCGCCCCCCCCCCCTCGTGCTGATGCGCGATTGTTGTTTCTTGCCGACCCCGCTCCCGAGTCTGCATGTGGGGTGTTCACGCTTCGGTCGGTTCGGTTGCGTCGCAGTCGGCTGCGTTCGGTCGGTCCGGTTGGGTCGGTGATTGTGTCGTTGCCGCGTCGCCGCGCCCTCCCAGGCTGCCTTCGGCCCGGCGGTTTCGATCGGTTCAGGTTTCGCTGCCGGTTCGGTCGGCTTTCGGTTTTGCTGTCGCCGTGCGCGGCCACGAGTCCTGCCCAGGCAGCCGGCTGGGGCATCGTTACTGCCGCTCCGAGGCAATCGTCGAGCTCCGGGCTGCCGAGGGGTGGCCTCGGCCCTCCACGCGGCGAGGCACACTTTTTGTTGTCGGCGGCGCTGGCGGACGCGAGCGCTTGGAGGAACAGCAGCTGCATGAGCATACACTGTTGGACTTGGCGTCGCTCGGGCGTGTGCGTTTTTCCTCGGCGAGGACCATCGAGGAGCATCCTTGATCATTTGGTGGAAAAAACACGCACGAAACCGAAAAAAACTCAGGGAATGGACGTCCGAGCGATGGCCAGTTGGAGGTCCGCGCGGATCTCTTGGATCTGTGCTGGACCCCCCTCCCTGGAGCGCGCCAGGGGCGGCGCTGGAGGCGCCGCCCGAGGGGTGGGCCCAGCGCCGACCCAAGAAATCCGCTCGGAGCTCCGACAATTTTTCTGCTCATCAAAGGCCTAGAGGTTGACACCAACATCAACATCGGCGGCGTGCCGCCACCGAGGGGAGAAGATCCCGATCTCGGTGATGGGTGGTGATATTCTGGCCTCCAAGGCGACCGACATCATGCCACCAGCACCGAGATCTGGGCTCATCTTCCCCCTGCTCAGGGACCACATGCGAACCCTACCCCTACCCCCCACGAGTTCTGAGGGGGGGAGGGTGGGGTTCGCTTCGCTCGGGGGCGCGCGAGCGAAGCGACCCCCCCCCCTCCCCCCTCAGAAAGCGGAGGAGGAGGAGGAGGAGGAGGAGGACGAGGAGGAGGATGAGGAGGAGAGGAGGAGGGAGGAGGGGGAGGAGGAGGAGGCGGAGGAGGAGGGAGGTTGAGGGAGGAGAGGAGGAGGAGGAGCGGAGGAGGAGAGGAGGGAGGAGGAGGAGGAGGAGGAGGAGGAGGAGGAGGAGGAGGAGAGGGAGGGAGAGGAGGAGGGGGGGGGGCGTGGTTCGCCTGTGTTCCCCTGCCTGCGGAGGCAGCCCTCCTTGTTTTAGTGCCGGTGCCCATTTCCAGGCCTCCAGAAGCTCGTGCGGGGTGCTCTGTTCCCTCGGGGCGCGGCGGCCGCTTGCGCTCCGGCTCCTCCTCTGCTCCCTCCTCCTCCTCCTCCTCCTCCTCCTTCTCCTCCTCCTCCTCTCTTCTCCTCTCTCCTCCTCCCCCTCCTCCTCCTCCTCCCTCCTCCCCTCCTTCCCCTCCTCCCCCACCTCCTCCTCCTCCTCCTCCTCCTCCTCCTCCTCCTTATGAATAGCTTCTCCCTGTCGCACCCCGAGGCCAGTTTTTAGGGCGGGCTGGGCGATTATCCTGAGACTTCCTCACCATTTATGTCTCTCAAGCTTACAGATTGGCAACCGTTTCGCAGATGGAGGGCGGGTGGTTTTCAAAATGTGGCTTGCCTCAGCGCCGCGCACATTCGTTCCAAAAGTCGCAAGAGTTTCACGGATTGAGGATAACCCATTTTCAAAATGTGGCTGTCGCCTTGGCGCCGCGCTCATTCGTTGCAAACATTTGCAAGAATTTCACGGATTGAGGGCGGTTCCTCTTCAAAATGTGGCTCCCGCAATAGCGCCTCGCACATTCGTTTTCAACATTTGCGAGAATTTCACGGATTGAGGGCGGTTCCTTTTCAAAATGTGGCCTTCGCCTCAGCGCCGCGCGCATTCTTTTCACACAATTGCAAGAGTTTCACGGATTCCCATGATGAGCGTACCAGAAATGGTGTTTTGGAAGGATTCAGGATTTTGTGGATGCAACAGTTTCGTTGATTCGCGGTGTTGAAATCCCAAGACTGGCGATCTGGCACGATCCAGCATCGTCAAGATGCAAGAGTCAGGTTGATCCGTGGCGTTGAAATCCCGAGAACAATGTTTTGGCATGCTTCCGGGTCTTCAAACGGTTGTCCTCCAACGAGGCATATCCTTCAATGGAAATTGGGGGCCTATAACGAGGGAGCTTGGAGGGCGGGTGTATTCCAACACCGTTGATGGCTCTTGGGTTTACACTGGTCCTCCTCCTCCTCCTCCGCCTCCTCCTCCTCCTTCCTACTTGTACGGTGGAGATCCATGCCGAGAAACACCCCGCTTGCCTCCAGGGTGCCCTGGGTTTCTTGAGCTTCGCTGGTCTTGCTCCGAGAACAGCAGGGTGTTTCCGCACCGAGCATCCATGGACGTCCTGGGATCTCAGGGTTGGGCCTCTCGTGGAAGGTCTCTTGTGGACCGGCCTCCGCTGCAGGAGTCGAGGCCTGGCCGAGGAGCATCCGCGGGCCACGGGCGCGCGCGCAGGCGGCCTCGGGCGCCGGAAGCCGGTGTGCGGTCGGGCGAGGCGGGGCTCAAGAGGCGGGGGTCAGTCAGGGGGCCACATGCGACCATTCGATCGATCTCACAATCGATCTGACTATCGATCTCACAATCGATCTCACTATCGATCTCATTATCGATGTCACAATCGATCCCACAATCAATGTCATCATCATCAACATCATCAACAACATCGTCATCAACGTCATCAACATCATCCCTACCCCTACCCCCCACGATTTCTGAGGGGGAGGGCGGGGTTCACTTCGTTAGGGAGCTCTCGAGCGAAGCGAACCCCACCCTCGCCCTCAGAAACCGTGGGGGGTAGGGGTAGGGTTCGCATCTGGTCCCCTAGTTCAGCCAGAGCGTTGGACCTTGCGGGATCCTGCAGGGCCAGGGGCGCACTGGCCCGGGTTGGGGTGCAGGGTTCTCGCAGGATCTTGCCAGATCTTGCAGGATGCTGCAGAGTCCGACTGACCCGGGCTTGCATTGACCAGGGTGAGTACGTCCCCGAGGGTGAGGTGCGTGAAGATCTTGCCGTCGAAGGAGGCGACAGTCAGGCTCAACCGCGGGGCCAGCCGCCGGTAGGTCGCCTGGGGCAAACTGCCGAGTGGCTGCGGTGAGTAGAGCCAGCAAGTGGTTCGGCAGCAAATCATGGGAGCCTTGTCCGTCTGCGCAATCCTGTCTCTGGGATGCGACAGCGTGCGCCAGCGTCGGGTAGTCGATGCGAGCCGACTTGGCCTCGATGTCGCGGCGATTCGCGTCGACTCGCTTCGAGTAGCGTCGAGTGGCGTCCACCAGCGCCGAATTCGCCTCCCCCGCCACGAGGCGGGCGGCTGGCCGGGCTCGAGCGCCTCGAGGCGGAGGAGGAGGACAGCGACGCGGCCGCCATCGCCACGGGCGAAGAGGCGGGGGCCCTCCCCTCCGGGAGGTGCGCGCGGCGGCGGCGACGACGAAGAAGGACAACTCGGCCCTCGCCGAAGTCGTCTGCCTCCGACTCCACCAGGGGGCCGCATGCGCACCCTGCCGCCCTACCCCCCCACGATTTCTGAGGGGAAGGGTTGGGTCCACTTCGCTCGGGAGCTCCCGAGCGAGGTGAGCCCCACCCTTCCTCGCAGAAATCGGGTGGGGGGTGGGGGGCAGGGCTCGCATGCGGCCCCCTGTCCGGCTCCATTCCTCCTCGCCGGCGTCCACGTGCTGCGGCCTCGGTGCTCGGTCGGGCCCGCCTTTCACCACACTCTTCTGATGCTCGGCGACCTCGTGCCTTCGACCGCACTGCCGCAGGCTCGCTCGCTCGCTCGCTCGCTCGCTCCCGCCCCTTCCTCACCACCCACCAAACCACCCCAACCCAACCCGGAGGCTTCAATTTGCCCTCCATTTCCAGTGGGGGGGGGAATCGGGGAACATCGAAAAAACACATGGTCCCCGTACCCCCCCCAACCCGAAATTCGGGTCGAATTCGTGTCTTCGGGTTGGGTTGAGGTGGTCTGGTAGGTAGTCACTTCCTCCAGGCCGCGACCCCAGCGGCTTGAGGAACTGCGAGCGTGCTCCGCCTCGCTGCCCTCCGCACCGCCTTGCACGGCGCGCCTAGAGGCGCAGCTCCCGCCATGGACCGGGGGCGGGTCAAGGTCGTCGTCCTGCTCCTCCTCCTCTTCATCAAGAGGGGCAAAACGCAGACACAATCAGTTGTCGACCCCCAGATGGGACAATATGGGAAGTGGGGGGGGAGACAAATATCCAGAACATATGGGAAGACATGGGAAATCCTGTGAAATGTGTGTATTTATTTGTGTGTCCCAGGGCTCCTTCACTTCAATGCGTCCTGGGCGCACCCAGGCGTGGAGGTCGCTCGCCTCTTCTGCCACGTGGGCGACGTCACCGTCGTGACCACTGACCCTTCCTTAGCTACAGCCCGTACCGCATCCATACATGCGCTGCCTCCACACCAGAGGCGACGGCTCGTTTCGCCAACGGCTGGCTTCGCCGACGGCTGGCTTCGCCGACGGCTGGCTTCGCCGACGCTGGTTTCACCCGGCTGGCTGGTTTCGCCGACCCGCCCGTTGGTTTCGCCCGGCTGGTTTCGCCTGGCTGGTTACGCCGACAGCTGGTTTCGCCGAAGTTGGTTTCGCCCGGCTGGTCTCGCCTAATCGCCTGCTGGTTTCGCCCAGCTGGTTTCGCCGACCCGCCCATCGCCACCGTTGTTGTTCGTCGTCGTCGTCGTCGCCGTCGTCGTCGTCCTCCGTCGTCGTCGTCGTTGTCGTCGTGTTCGTCGTCGTCGGTGTTGTCGTCGTCGTCGTCGTCGTCGTCGTCGTCGTCGTCGTCCTCCGTCGTCGTCGTCGTCGTTGTCGTCGTGTTCGTCGTCGTCGGTGTCGTCGTCGTCGTCGTCGTCGTCGTCGTCGTCGTCGTCGTCGTCGTCGTCGTCCTCCGTCGTCGTCGTCGTTGTCGTCGTCGTCGTCGTCGTCGTCGTTGTTGTTGTGGTCGGCGTAGTCGGCGGCGGCGGCGGTGGCGTTGTCGTCGTCGTCGTCGTCGTCGTCGTCGTCGTGGTCGTCGTCATCGTCGTCGTCGTCGCTGCCGTGGTCGTCGTCGTTGGCGGCGGCGGTGGCAGCGGCGTCGTCGGCGTGCCGTCGGCGTCGTCGTCTGTTAAGGCCCACTAAGCCGACACCCCCTTAAGTTCCATGCAGTGCGTCGCCGGTGCGTCGCCCATGTGCCGGCCCTGGTTTGCGTCTCTGTCCCGAATCCCGGCCTCCCAGAGTGCGTGGGCGAAAATGGCGCGACTTCGGAATTTCGTTGGTGATATCGTGGTTTCCGACGCTGGTGCAGCAGCAGCCAGCTTGGCGCTCGTTGCGCACATAGTTCGACGGTTCACCAAAGCGCTATATTTCCCATTCGGCGCGAACCATTCGCTGGTGCGTCGTTTCGGGGAGCGCCAGCCGTAACTGAGGACGACGCCTCACGTTGATTGGGGGTTGTGCGTGTCGTGCGTGCCATGGAGGGGTCACGTCGCGTTGTGCGACGCGGCGCCACCTCGCCCCGCCGCATCGCGCCCCGTATTCCGATGTCTGTTCGCGCTTGTCCTCCTGCCCCTTCCCCTCTTCCTCCCTCTTTCCCTCATTGAACGCGCTGCGCGTCCGGTCCCGTGTGCGAAATTGTACGTGGCCTTTTTGCCAGGCTGCCGTCCTGTCCCCCTTCCCTACTCCCCCCCTTGTCCTTCCACCCTCCTGAAAGTTCCCTTGTCTTTCCATCCTCGCCCCCCCGCCGCCTCCCTTCGATTGCCTTCCATCTCTCCTGCCGCCGCTGCGCCGCCCCCGCTTGCCCTCTCTTTTCCCGTCCGTTGCCTTCTCCCCCCGCCTTCCCCCCGCCTCACTTCCCCTCTTCCTTCTCCCTCAAATGCATCGGTGCGCGAAAAGTCGCCAAGTTGCTGCGTTGACGATTTCATGCTCAAGTTTTGCCGCGCTATGCGTTTCCAGTTGTTTACTCCGCGCGCGGTGTAACTCCGTGTCGGCGTTTTTTTTGGGTTTCCT